AAAAGACGAAAATACCAGTCAGCACCGGCTCCACTACCTGTCGTAAAACGGAAGAGGCAAACAGCAATACCATTACGGAAAGTAAGTCAAGGTACCATGGGATCGATGCCGACAGTGAGAGATCATTGGAACATCATCTCACTCAGAGGGAAGGAGCAAGAACTAGTTGATGACGCTGTATGGTACCGAGTGGTCGTAACTCAACGAAGCGCCACGGCTCTGGAATTCTGAACCTCAGCGGATGGAAGCTATTCTACTCACTTGCGAACTTTGCGCCCCGCGTTCAGGCCGGTGCTGGCTGAGAGAATTATTCAGTGGAAGTGGCAATGCTCTGGCTGAAGTTACACATTGGTATAGCACTGAAACGTTTTACAGGCCTATGCGCCAAATTTGGAAAAAGAATCAGTCATTCCTTGAGGAAGTGGAATACGCTTTGTACAGAGTGCCGACCATGATGTCCCTCATTCTAATGGGCGATTTTAATGCGCATGTCTAAGCAGACACTGAAAAGTGGGAAGGCCATAACGAATGTCAAAAATAATGGCATGAATTTGTTGCGGTTTTGGGCAAAAACGGACTGTATGCTAAGAACGTCTTTCAGCTTCGAAGAATGCATCGGTATATCTTGTATAGGGTAGCTTGTGTACAAAGTCAGTGATCGATTTGATGATCGTATCGTCTGAATTAAGACGCTGTTTAATGAATGTTCTTGCTAAGAGAAACGCAGAGCTGTCAACCGATCGTCACCTTGTTATTTGCACCTGTGTTGCAAACGATGAAATATGCGAAGAATGGGTGGCAGAAGCAACTAGGGAATGAAAGAGAATACATCTTCTGCGGATATTCGTGTTGAACTTGCAAACAACATCGCATGACGGCTTGAACAGGTCTAAGAGATAATGGCGGAGGTAGAAAACGAGTCTAAGCGACAAAAAAGCTACATTCAAGATGTGGCTTGGAGGAAAATAGTCTTCAACTCGTATACGGTGCGAAGAAACCCACAAGACGGCGGCAGCGAGAGCATTGGCCAAAGCGAAAGCTGATTCCTGAGAAAATTTTGGTGAGATGCCCAAGTCGAATTCCCAGACGGCAAACTAGGTATTCTGGCAGGCCATCTGCAGGCCTTCAACATAGAAAGAAGGGCAGTCAAAGTCCGAATGATGACTTCTTACAAAGAAAGAGGATATACTTCGGCGATGAAGAGAGTGCTTTGAGCTAATATTTGCTCAGCCGACCGGCCGACGAGCCCAGTAATGGCCAAGGATAAAATGAGGCACGTTTCGAAGGTCTTTGCTCCAGACTCGGTTTATCTTCTGCTGAAGCTCAATCGCTGGCATAAGATCAGGAAAGTTGGAGAACTGTCTGGAACGTCTGTCTCCGGGACCCGAAATGCAGCCATCAAAACTGACTAACTAACTGGTGTGCTAATAATTTATTTTTTTTAAATCTAAACTTTCTTCCTTTTCGCCAGCGTGAAAGAATGCATCAGAGAGAATTACGTTTATCCATTACGGTAGCTGTCTTGAGCCCCAAAACGGTAGATTAGCTAAAAAGACTGAGTTGAAAGATATGTTCGTTTTAAGACATGTTTTTCTCGGGAAAGCTACTCTGAATGGGTCCGAAACCACTGTCTACTCTTTATTCCTAATCAACAGCGTGAGTTGATCAAACGATGAATTCTTTGAAAGGTGACTGATCGTTAAAGAACTTAACTTGTTTATCCAATAGTCACGGTGTAGTCACCAGCGCAGCAATGAACTCTAGCTTTGGAAGGGAACTCGAAGCCAGAGATAAATATTGACTACAAAATGGATTAAAAAGCGTCTGGAGAGGGAAGAAAGAAAAGTAATGTAAGTTTCAAGCATGATATCTGCCGTTGCATCTAAGTGCCATGCAGACAGAATGGTGTTGAACTTTCCATCTGTCAGAGTGCTGAAAAATGTGACAAACACGGCCAGCGATTTGGAATAATTATCTGTTCAAAGGATGGATGAATGGCTTACGCCTGAACGCCTAGTGTCCTATGGCTACTTTCTGTCATTTGATTCAATTTATGAAAACAGCCGTTTCAGTGGCATATTTGCATTCTAAGTGTGTTTGTGAAGAATGTTTTCGTGTTCCGTTTTATTACGATTATCCATGCCCGTGGGAAGGATGGCATTATCCTCCGTTCGAAAGCTGTTTAACGGA